AGATTCTTCTTTTTCTTCAGTATTTTTTATCTCTTTATAAAATGCATTTCCATATCCCATATAACCTTATTTCCTTTATTTGTCTTCTCTTAGAATTCATTTAGGAGTTTGAATCCTCTGTGATTTCTTTGAACATACTTAATTATACACACATAATTATTTTGAGTCCTTTGTCTTAACTTTCACTGAATTCACTCTTATTGGGGGCTGCTATTTTGGGATAGGTAATTTTTGGAGGACACATTTTATCTTGGTTTTTCATGCCTCATGTTTTTACGTTGGGGCGGGAAGGGTTTTCTAGAAGGATGGATGCTATCATGTCTGCTAACTCGGTCTTGACCTAGTGCTTTGCTGGGTGCAACATCAGAAGTGAATGTTTGTCCTTTGTGCTGTTCCCAGCGTTGTCGGGGTGAGATCCAGGGTCCTGGCTGAGCTGACCAGCTAGACTCTCTCACCTGTGCTCAGTCACCCAGTTAAAGAGACAAGTAACGGTGAACAGCAGGGGGAGATTGGGAAGAGGAACAAAGAGAGCCAGTGAGCCCCTCCCGTATAGCTCTAGGCTTAAATAGAAGGCGAGTATGCGTGACTAAGTGGCCCTGGGCAGAGGGCGAGTCCACTAGTGCACCCCTCAATGTTTCTGTTTTCGTCTCCTCTGCAAGATGGTCTGACGTGTTGTCAGAACTGTGTAAAATCCCTTTCCTGGAGACAAGCTCTCCCTCTGGCTCCCCACCACAATCCGACCCAGCTTTCCTCTTCTCAGTACGAAATTCAAGGGAAACGCCCACTCCTTAGGGTGTGCTGTCTCTTGTATAGCCATGGGCACATCCTCATTCTTGCCAGGTCACAGTGCCTTCTTGACCACACTGTAAGAGTTCATTCTGTCGCAGTCAGTCAAGCAACAGCAGTGGTCTATCGTGCAGAGAGGCCTGGGCCTCACTGGTGAAGCCTGCCTGAAGCATGGGTGAGAGGGTGGTCAATCTGGACGTAAGAGTCTGACCACAGCTGCTAGCCCAGAATTGTGGCTTTATTGAGATCATGCACCACTTTACTTGATGACAAATAAGAATTTAGATTTTAACTGGACACTACCAGCCACATTCAAAACATACTGGCCAGAAGCAATCAACAACAGTTGTGCTCATGGCCTCCACTTGTAGTGGCAGTGTGAGCAATCTTGCCAGAGAGGCCAGCTCCGAGGAAAGCCTGTCTTCACTTTTTGAGCATCTGTGCAAAAGATGCAATGGGCTCCCACTTCCTTGGGGGACACTTGTCTGAGCAGCATGAAAGAAAGTGCAGCTCTAGTCATGCCACATGGTAGCAGATCTCTGTATGAAGTTCCTGACAGCACAAACGACATGGATGCCACCCACCCTCACCAATGCCTTGTACTGGATATGCTAAGGGCAGCTCATAGCTGCAAGGAACAGTGCAGGCCCAGTATGAGATACTGCGAAGACTTTTGAAAGTGAAAAGTTAAGGTAGAAATCGTTTTGAGATCTTCCTTGATGTTTATGTTGGATCCTGCTCCCAGCAGGGTTTGGTGCACAGTTACTAGTAACACACACATACACACACACACACACACACACACACGCCAGGAGTGGTGGCGTACCCCTTTAATTCCAGCCCCCAGGGAGGCAGAGGCAGGCAGATTGATGTGAGTTTGAGGATAGTGTGGTCTACAAAGTGAGTCCATGACAGCCAAAGCTATACAAACCAACTATAGAAACCCTGTCTCAAAAAACCAAACCAACAATTAAAAAACAATTAAAAAAAACCCAGACAAATTGATAGTAATATCCAATGGGAAAATAAGCAAGAACACCCAGAAAAAACACTGAAAAAAAAAAAAAAAGCTGTGAAGAGGGACCCATAGTAGTTAACAAATCACAGCTAAACACTTCTAAAATGACAACTGTGGTGTGTAGAGTGACAAAGGCCTGCAGACTCAGACTTCCAGAAGTGACCTGAACATACTCGGGAGTTCACTGCAAAGGCATCACAGCCACTCACTCAGGCAAGGATGAGCTTTCACTAAATGGTGTTGGGTAACTGGGTATCCAGCTGCCTCTCATTATACAAATGAACAAACTAAAAACAGACTACCCACAGGGTCTGAATAATAAAAGCACACACATTCTAGGGGGGAAATAGGTGAACTCTTTTATGATTCGGACAGGGAACGTTCTCTATGTTTCAAACCTCAGGTTCAGCAACAGTACAGGGTGATATGTGTGCCAGCTGTGGTAGCACACCCCCTTTATCCCAGCACTGGGGAGGCTGAGGTAGACGAAGCTCCACGAGTTCAAGGCCAGCCTGGTCCACAAGATGAGTTCCAGAACAGCTAAGGCTACACACACACACACACACACACACACACACACACACACACACACAGACCCTGTCTTGAAAAACAAACCAACAAAAACAAAACAAAAAACCCCAACCAAACAAAAACAGTGATATATGTGACACCACAAGACAAGCAGAACAAATAAACCCAAGATATCGCAAAAAGAGACAAAAAGCAACTGAAAAACTAGGAGAAAGTTACAATGAATGCCCTTTAGAAAGTCAGTAAACTACAAGATCCAACTCTGACGAATCCATCAGGCGCAGCTGTGGGTACTGGGTAACCACACCATCTGGGGTCCTGTGGGAGGCAGGGCCCTTTCAAAGAGCCACTCTTACCTCTGAAGCAAAGAAAGCTCCGCTGAGTCCTTGGGGCGCTCAGGTCAGTGGGGACAGAAGTGTAGGTCATGGTATTCTGTGATATTCTCAGTTTGACAGTTTTCCAGAGCTGCTGGGTTTTAATTCCAGGGTCTCTTATACACGATGTATCCCTAAGTGATACCCCAACCCAGAATTTTTATAATAACTAAAAAGGAAACTCTTGAGAATGAAAGCAAGTTTCTGTCTTTTTAGAACAAGTTTTAACGAAACCCATTTGATTAATTAACGACTGCCTTAATGGCTTGGATTCTTCTCTTCCCACCATGCAGCTAATTACGGCCTCACCCAGGACACTCAGTGGTGTGGGGCAGCGGTCTCAGAGGCACACTGCTCCCTCCAGGGGGCGCAGCGCTCCTCTGCCTCTAAAATGGACTTGCCTGTGCCTGGCTCTGACTCTTCCTAAAAGCTGTCCACACGCTCAGCAGCCTGCTCTGCTCACAGACACTGTGCCTCCTCCGCACAGCCCTTCCTAGAGAGTACGTACACGTAGAGAAGATGGGGTCGGGTGGGACACGTGTCCGGATGGAGCTGCACCACTCAGAGCCTCAGAGTTTATTCCACACAGCATGGGAGTCTCTGTAGATGAGCGCTCTCAGGCTGTACACATCTGAAAGGAGGAAGGTGCGCTTGCTGGTTTTTGCACACAAAGACCCATTCATCACTTACAGGCACTTATACTTGGACCAGAGGGAGAAGGCATGGCCAGTTCTGAGCCTGACTCTCATGGGGGAAGGCTTTGCAATTTACTATGGCTCTGAGGCCTTGGACCTTGTCATGGCTGTGGCTATATCAACAATAAACATTCACTCAGGACTTTACTCAAGGCTTCTTCTGCTCCATACAACTCTTGCCTAAGTCTTAATAGCATTAGAAGCTAAACAGCTTGGATTACAGGCATGCGATGCCACAGTCAGCTTTTAGGGTGCTGAAATCTAATTGGAGACCAAAACCCTGACATTAAGGAAAAAAAAAAAACAAAACAAAACCAAAACAAAACAAAAAACCAAAACTGATCTGGAATGAAAAACTACCTGGAAAAATAAGCACAGTCAAAGGAAATTGCAAGTTATATACACAGTGGCAATTCACTTCAATCAATAAGTAAAGGAATAAAGGCCCAGGAACCCTCCTGAAAACATGGAGTCGAGAGCATAAAGAGAATTTGAAGAAAACTGATTTCCCTGTGAGAAAAATACAGATCACTACACTAATGGAAGCAATTAAGACTGAGTTATGGGCTCATGCCTCGGAGTGTCTTAGTGCCAAAGCTCAGGTGCACAGCATTTTTAAAGGCAAAACCCACATAGATCATAATTGACATTCAAGTTAGATGAGGGTGAGAACAGCCTCAAAACATTATTATTATATTACTGCTGCTGCTGTTGTAGTAGTTATCTCAGATATAACATGCCTATTATTTTTCACTTATACCTTCTTCAGTTTTTTTTTTTTTTTTGTACACCAGGTTGGCTTTGAACTCACAGAGATCGTCTGCCTCTGCCTCTATGAGTGCTGCAATTATAGCATGTGCCACCACGCCTGGCTGCCTTCTTGAGTTATTTAATTTTGCATAAACATTAGTTTTGTGAATATGTCTGGACCACGGTCATGGCTGTGGAAATCTCAAATGTGTAGCCAGGGTAAGATACAGCGGTACTTTTGGACCTGCCAGTGGTAGGCATAATGACACAGAGGCTTTTTAATATTTTAAAGCTTAGGCATTTTAACTGGCCAGATCCCCACCCAGCCTTCTGGTTTATCCTGACTGATCCTGGCACTATGTCCTGCCACATGGCCAGCTCCAGCTCCACCTCTCTGCTCTTGTTCACATCTGTCCATCCCCCCCCCGCCTGTGTCTCGATTGTGAATCTCCCACTTATGCTTTCTCCTCCCAGAGACCCTCTCTCTCCGAGAAGTTCCATCTTCCACTTCTTGCCCACAAATGTTTACAAAGTTTGAGACCAGTGATGGGTTACAGAAATAATAATACCAAGATCTGGCTAGTAGGCTAGAACCTAGCTCTCTGCTGGATTAGCAATCAACAATCAAATATACAGAGACACACATTCATACAATGTACCCCAACTGGCAGCCATGGCTGTTGGGAAGATAGAGAGCTGAGAACTGTCTTTAGCTTTTAGTATGAATACTGTTTTAAAAATTTATAACGTTTTAAAATAAAACTGCTGTTTGACTAAGCCACTAGAGTTGTCACAGTTAGGGTTTCTATAGCTACAATGAAATCCATGACCAAAGCAAGGTGGGGAGGAAAGGATTTATTTGGCTTACACTTTCACATTGTAGTCCATCACACTTTCACATTCCTAGTCCATTGTAGGAAGTCGGGACAGAAACTCAACGAGGGCAAGGACCTGGAGGCAGGAGCTGATTCGGAGACCATGGAGGGGTCTTACTGGCTTGCTCCTCATGGCTCGTTCAGCCTACTTTCTTATAGAGCCCAGGACCACCAGCCCAGGGATGGCACCACCCACAGTGGGCTGGGCCCTCCCTCATCAATCACTAATTAAGAAAATCCCACAGAGACATTTTCTCAACTGAGGTTCCCCCCCTCTCAGGTGACTACAGCATGTGTAGAGCTGACATAAAACTATCCAGCACAAGACACTTAGTAATCTATCCTGTGGGCAAGGGCAATGAATGTGAAATGGTGGTCTGGGCCCTTCACTCATGTACAGCGGATGCTCAGTAAGATGGAGTGTGGCCACTGCGCAATGCTGTTAGTCGGGGGAATGGGCGGTAGAAAGCAGGATTTGAATACACAGTCCAAACTGTGTCAAACTCTCCTTTGACATCCCCATCCCCTAATCTGAATCTCTTTGGAGGGCCCAACCTAGACCTCTGTGGGACACTCGGAAGTCCCCCTCCTCTTTCAGACCTCATTTGCTATTGTTTAAATACGTCAGCATTTTACCTTACACGCAGTCACTGGAAACTCTGTGCCACACCTATTAACCCTCCGGGGTCGGGCTTTGAGTCTCTCACTTTCACTTCTGCAGCAAGCTTCACAGCGATTTAGCATCTAGCCTTTGCACATTCAAAATACTGCTGGCACAGACTTGAGACACCTAGAAAAGTGGGGTAGAAGGCTGTGCTGCCAAATCGAATCTCTCACAACAAACCTAGAGAATGGTTTTCATACTCTACTGCACATCTTTGAATGGCTCCTCTTTTAGAAGCTTTCTACTGTCACACATAAGCGTGTAATTATAAGCGTATAAACCCCAGGCCAGACATTAGTGGAATTCAGTGCCTACTCAAGCCGCAGTCATTCAGCCAGCCACCCATCCACATTGTTAGTTTCAGCCCATCTCTCACCCGTTTCTCAAGGTGGGAGAATTTGTCTCCTATCCAGTACACAAGTGCCAGGCACATCAGAAGCTGTTCCGTCAGGCCCGGGAGCAAGAAGAGTTAGCGACGTGAGGGAGGGGAGGACGCAGCTGTGAGGGACGCTGCACTTTGGGGTCCCTAGCTGCTCAGGCCGGGCGATCCTCCGCGACTTCTGCACCGGCGCGACCTACCGAATTCAGGCAGATGACGAGGACCCCACCCGACCCGACCCGACCCGACCCACTCCACCCACTTCAGCAGAACCGAAAAGCAGCGTCCTTGCCCCGCGCCACCACGTGAACAGCCGCTCACGTGAGCACGGCGGTGCGTGACCCGCGGGGTCACGTGAGCGCACGCGGTCACGTGAGCGCCGCCCCCGCCGCCCCTGCCGCCCCTGCCGCCCTGCCTTTGCTTCCTACTCTGAACTGCGCTGCAGGAGGATGGAGGAGGAGGAGGAGGAGGCGCGGTCGCTGCTTGAAAGATCCCCCGAGGCGGATGGCGCGGCCCAGGGCGCCCCGCGCGCTCTGCCCACGCTCTGCGACCCCCGCCGCCTGGCGCACCGGCTCGTGGTGCTCTTGCTGATGTGCTTCCTTGGCTTCGGTGAGCCGGGGAGGGCTGCAGCAGAGGATGGCGGGATTCCGGGGTTCGTGTCCCCGGCTCCGCGCTGCCTCCGGGGCTTGGGGACCCGCTCTTTCCGAGCGTCGCGAGCGAGGCCGGGGGACTGAGCTGGCGATGATTGTCCCCGCTCGGTCCCGGAGTGCAGCTGCTCCTCCCTGGGGACGCGGATGGGAAGGAATCCAGATCCCCCCCCCCCCCAGCACTGTGCTCGGGAAGATTTCAGAGCGTTGACTAAGTCCCTTTTCCTCCCTCCCCAGGTAACACTCCCCACCCTGGGTGCTCTTCTTGGTACTCCTTTAGAGCTCTCCTCCGCTTTGGATAGTGTTCGCCGTCTTGGCAGCTTAGTAAGCGTGATTTCTCAACTTTCCTCTGTGAGGCCGCCCTGCGGGACCTCACTTGTTTGGAGGAGGTTGGTTTCGCTTAAGAAATCTGATCCCCCGGAAAGCACTTTCTTTAGATACTTTTAAAGGCATCTTTCGCTCCTGTGTTACAGTTTAGTTTACTCTGAAACCGTTCCGATTTGTAAGTACTGGCTTGGCTTGAAAGCGTGTTTTCAGAGATCAGATTCAGAAATGCACACTCCGGTATATAAAAGATCCGGTATATAAGTGAGATCCGTCTCTACAAGCAAACAAACCATGGTCTTGGATGTCTCATAAGCAGTTAACAAGGAACTAGAAGTTTCTAGGTTTAGAATCAGTGACCAAGAAATAGACAAAACACTTGAAGAAATTGTCCCAGCTCAGACTGACAGCTTATTTTTGGTAGGTAGATTGGCTAAAAGTTTGGGTTTGAGAAGCCAGAGCCCTGCCTCGCTGGTCACCTTCCCCACCTTTGAACTGGTGGCTCTGTGTATTTACAGAGCCAGTGTGAGAACAGGCAGGCTGTCCTGGGGCCGCCTCATTCCTGTCAGTTAATTACTTGTGAGGTCGTGGGTAACCGCTCTTTCCCCGCGCCTGTTTCTGATTGCTCAGGAGACATTGCTATATTTTTCATTTGATCCTCAGTTGTGTTCTTGTTCCCGGCGCAGTATTTCACTCAGTCATTTACTCCTGGGTATTTTGTTTTCAGGATCAGAATTTATTTCAAATACTGGTTTGAATAGCTGAAGTTCATTTTGCTTTCAAGGGGTGTGACACAACAGCTAACATGCAACTGCAGAGGATGTTTATGTAGACTTTTTTTTTTTTTTTAATAAGGAAAATGCAGCTATTTCATGGAGGTATTCATCCAGTAATGAACATGGGCAGCACGAAGAAAATAAAATGATTAAAAGCAGTGGATGCTGACTTCTCACTTTAAGTCTCTGGCATTTACTGTGTGTGTGCGTGAGCGCTCAGACTGCTGAATTGTGGAAGTTCCTTTGGATGGTAGATGAGGAAGTGGTCAAAAAATTTTTTTTTCACAGTGTCAGCAACAGTGTGAACCTTAAACACTGCGGGCCAGTTACTAATTGAGAGTCATAACTTGAAGCTTTGTTATATAGGTCTGACCATTCAGAGTGAAATATGTGCTCTTTCTTTTCTAGGGAGCTATTTTTGCTATGACAATCCTTCTGCCCTTCAGACTCAGGTTAAACGGGTGAGTGGTTTTCCACATTCGTGGGCTTGCTCTGGAGCACTGACTTACGGCTGCTGAAATGCCGTGAGCTCTCAGGGTGCCCATCTGGAATATCCATTTCCTTCCTCTTCTAATGTCTGTCGTCATCAGACACACAAGCTGCAGAGTTTCTGGGATCAAATTTATTTCCCCAAGGAACTCATGGATAACACATACATGACTTGAGCTAGTTTCATTCTTTACGTAGGTAATTACGAACTCTGTCCACAGTGTTGCTAAAATGCTAGTTTTTGTTGGGATTTTACATTCCCAATACTTACTTGCTGAATGCTAAGTGATTTTTTTTTTTTTTGGGGGGGGGGGGGATGGCTTTGGCCTTCTTTGATAAACTTTCTTGTTATTTACTTTGTAAGTGTGGATACTGGTTGCTGAGTATTGTCCCCATCTGCATTCTTAGTCGTGTTTTGAATTGTAAAATTATACGCGATATCTGTCATTTCTTGGGCATTGAGACAGAGAGTGTACAGGCTGTCCTTTTGCATTCCAGCAGGAGCTAAAGAGGGCTGTGTCCATGAGACTAGATAATGATGATTCTTTTCTGTGTGGGAGGAGTCCACAGTGCAGGCAGAAATGAAGAAGTAAGAACGTAGGAGACAGAAACAGACTGAGGTGGCCCCCATGCTAGTGTCTGGTCCTGGAAACCAAGATGCTGGAGAAGTAATATGTGGAAGAAAGACATTCACAGGTGTGGCTGTTTTTCTAAGGGCAAGGATTGTAGCTTTGAGGAGAGCTTCAAGGCAGCAAATAGTTCACACGTGGTTGAAAACCTTACTCCACATAGAAACACAGCCATAGCCACGATTTGTTAGTTACTAAACCTGTTTGGAAAAAAGTTTTCTTTTCTTCCCATATAGGACATGAAAGTGAATACTACGAAATTCATGCTGCTGTATGCCTGGTATTCTTGGCCCAATGTAGTTTTGTGTTTCTTGGGTGGCTTTTTGATAGACCGAATATTTGGAATACGGTAAGCTTGCAATTTTGTTTTGTTTTGTTTTTGTGGCCAAATTTAACCTGGTTATTAGGAGAATGTAGGAATGGGTTGAAGTTTATCTTCAAAGAACTGAGTAGACGTTAATTGACTGGTACGCGTGAGGATGGATTTGCTTTTTGTTCTTAAAGATTTGTTTTTGTCTCTGGACTTGATCCTTTAAGTGTGGCTGATTTATTAGGGTCAGACCTAGCAGGTGCTCCTGATGGAGTAAGGCCATTGGTTTCTGGAGGTTAATTATGCTCTTAATTTGGATCAGAATGCTGCCACTTGGTCAGGTGCCTACTGTGTTCAAACTTTGAGCACGGGGTAATAATTCCCACTTTACAAGTGCCTACAGGGATTAGATAAGAGCTGGAATTGCAAAGTCTTTGTACATAGGTGGAGATACAACCCTTAGCTCTGGTAAGATTTAAGTTTTTTTTTTTTTTTTTTGTGGCCACATATGTTAAATGTTGAAGAAGGATAGTCCTATAAGCTTTGTCACTTTACATCTTTCTCACTGGCTGTGTTTCAAGTGAACATCACCCAGGAGTTTCTTCAGAAGGAAGTGAAGCGGCTGAAGTGGTTTTAAACCACTTCTGATGGGGAAGGGATGAAACAATCTGTGCGCTTAGGTTTGTGGGTTTGCTTTTAATACCTTAAGTATTTGAGTGTGAAGGAGTGTTAAGTCAGTTTTCATGGGTCTCAAGGGTTAGGATTAGCTGAATTTTCAGGGAAGCTAATTCCACTTATTCAGAGGGGAGCTTCCTTGTCATAGGGGTGATAGAAATCATCTTGGGACACTGAGTTTCCCAGTTTTAGAGAACGTTCAGGTGATGATGTGGCGATTTCCCAAAGATTTTTGAGTGAATTTCAGTTTCAGAAATTCAGTTGGCTCCAGTGACTTTTGAAGACTCTTCTAATCCTGCTGTTTTATTGCTGTGGTGAAATAGTAATTGTATTGGACTTGTAACACCGTTAACTAGGCCTAGACTTGTCTTCAAAAGTGTTTTTCCGTTATCGAGAATTATAGCCGCTTACGCTGTCCACTGCAGAATTTCTTAGAATCGGTTCTGGGCTCTAATACTTGTTGATACTGTGTGTGTACGCGTGTACACATGGCACACGTGTGGAGGTGCCCATGGAGGGCAGTACAGGTCAGATCGCAGCGGCCGGAGTTCCAGGCGGTTGTGAGCTGCTTGGACTTGAGTCCTCTGCAAGAGCAACAGTGTTCTTAACTGCTGAGCCACTTCTCTAGCCTTCAGCTCTAGGCTTGGAATAGGAATTTAATAAAGAATTTCCATTTCTAAATGCTTTGGCCCTGGGAGCTTTGAAGACTAAGTTTTAAGAGGTGGTAATGATGTAATAAACCCGTGCCATCGCTGAACCTCTGGAATCCTGTCAGAACTGTGGACTTCTATATGTTGGTGTTTGGTTTAGGAAAGAGGCAGGTGGACATTCATCTTCTGTAGAATTCAGAGTGGACAAAGGAGACCCAAGTTGGTCCTCAGCGCAGGACTCTGCGACCACTAGCAATGATGTGAAGAAATGACATTTTCTTTCTCTCATAGATGGGGCACAGTTATTTTCAGCTGCATTGTTTGCCTTGGACAGGTAAGAAAGACCAAAATACTTATTCATTTCTTAACAGTGACTTTGCAGTCTTATATAATTAATTCCCCTGACCAAAATATGTTTCATGAGTGACCAACTTAGTTAACCAGGCCTATGAATGGCCACGTGGTATAAATCAATTTAAGCCTTAAATTACATTGTCTTAGTCACTTCCCTCATTGCTGTGATTGACAGAAGCCACTTAGGAGGAGGAGGGTTTATTCTGGGCCACAGTTTGAGGGGAGGGCATGCCAACAGGAGCATGAAGTCGCTGGTCACATAGCCTGCTGTCAGAAAACAGAAAGTGGGGTGTGTGTGTTCCTCTTGCTTCCTCCTTTCTTGCTGCTGGGCAAATAAAATGGTGCCACCCACACCCAGGGAGGATGTCATGGGCTTATCTGACCGAGATATGCCGCAGGCTTGCCTTCTGGTGATTACAGACTCTTCTAGGCAC